GCCACGTGGCGAAGACGAAGCTGGCCTCGCTGCTGCAACTCTCGAGCCAGGAAGTAACGCAGAGCAATGTGCTTCGTTCTGTGCTCCAGTCTGTGCTCCTCACACAAGGCAATGGCTGCCTTGTTGTCAACGTACAGAACTGGAGGAGAACGAGGCCGCTCACCCAAGTCAGTCAGCAGGTAGGTGAGCCAGCGTAGCTCCTGTGCAGCCATGGCGGTGGCGTAGATCTCAGCCTCACAACTGGAACTGAGAACAGAAGACGAGCGTGTAGACCGCCAAGAAACAGAGCCAGAGCCAAGGCTGAAGGTGTAACCCTGGGACGACCGCTGTGTAGTCTGGTCGTCAACCCAAGACGCGTCTGAGTGCCCAGTGAGGACCACCTCACTCCGTCCTCCAAGCACTAGCCCCATGCCTGATGTGCTGCACAAGTAGCGCAATACCCTCTTAGCAGCAGCCATGTGCTCAGGTCGGTGCCGACCAGGAGCTACGTAGCGAGCCAGAAGACCAAGAGGGTACGCGAGGTCAGGACGAGTGAAAGTCATCAGGTACATGAGGCAGCCGACTAGCTCTGGGTAAGGACCACTCGGCTCTACGGACTCGTCCGAAGGTGGAGCTGAGAGCGAGTGACCTGTCGCCAGAGGAGTGGCCTGTGCTGAAGACCAGGTGAAGCCGAAGCGCTGAAGGACCTGCTGCACCATGTGTGACTGAGTCAGGGTGATGGTGCGGTGTGCTCTGTCCCGGGTGATCTGCAAGCCAAGGTAGCTGCGCAGCTCACCCAAGTCTGTGCACGTGTGTCTCTTCTGCAGCTCCGACTTCACGTGGGCGAGAGCCTCAGTGTCAGCAGTGGCAAAAACCAAGTCGTCGACGTACACTAGGATGTAGAACGGCGGCAGTGAAGTGTCGGTGCGCAGAAACAGCGATGGGTCAGCAGTAGAAGGCGCGAACCCAAGAGCCGCAAGCGTAGTCCTCAGTGTGTCGTGCCACTCACGTGGCGCCTGGCGGAGACCGTAGACCGGCCGCCGGAGGCTCCACTAAGTACCAGGAGGGAACGACCCAGTGAAGCCCGGGGGGCGGCGCAGCCAGATCTCCTCGTGCAGACTGCCCTGCAAGAAAGCTGTGCTGAAGTCAAGAGAATGAAGCTCGTAGTCACGATGAGCGGCAACGTGCAGCAGCACCCGAAGAGTGGTCATCTTCGGGGTGGGGGAGAAGGTCTGAAAGAAGTCTACTCCCTCTCGCTGACTGAAGCCTCGAGCAACGTACCGAGCCTTGAAGACAGGCGGAGAATCTGGCGGCCGCTTCACCCTGAAAATCCACATGCCACTGACGATGTTCGCCCCAGGAGGGGGAACCTCGTCGACGTAAGTGCCAGTGGACTTCCAGGATGCCATCTGTGCGTCCATGGCTGTCTGCCACTGAGAGGAGTACTCACCCGCGATCGCCTCAGCGTAAGAGCGCGGGGTTGGGATGTCTGGTGCATCCGGGTCTCCCTCAGGGGCAAGTAGCATGGCCACGAGATGGGGCGCAGCGGCTGCAAGACACTCAAGGTCCTCGTGCCTGTCCTCAAGGACGTCCGTGCCAAGAGCACACTCACCCCCGACGGACGGAGGACGGACAGACTCAGACTCAGCAACAAGACTGGCAGCGTAGTCTAGACGACAAGCAGCAGCAAAGTCAACAAGCTCAGCGACCAAGGCAGACGCAGCAGCAGACTCAAACGACGGGTCAGTGACAACAGTGGCTAGCAGACGCGTGACAGTAGGGTGCTCAGTACGAAACCGGTCAGACGCAGGGTCCGGAACGTCAGGCAGAGAGGACGCAGGGGGAGACGGCAGAGGAACAGACTGCGAAGCAGAGGAAGGACGACGGACAACAAGGTGCGCACTGGGGACAGTCGGCTGACATAAACGAGAAACACGACGACCAGTACGACTAGAACGAACAGGCGAGACAGGACGCGACGCAGGCTCACGACGCTCAGCAAGACTACCTGTCTGCTCAGTGTAAGGAGAGGGAGCAGGCAGCGGTGAGCCAGGCTGTAAGGGAAGACCAGTAGACGACGGGAGAGTAACAACCTGACGAAGAGCAGAGTCAGGCGGCGGCAGAGACGACGGAGACGGCGGAGCGAAGAACAGTCGTGTCGGCGCAGCTGCACCAGTACCAGCAGCTCCAGCACCTCCAGCAGCTCCAGTGCCTCCAGCAGCTCCAACAGCTCCAGTCGCAGAACTTGTACCTCCAGCGGTAACACCGCCAGAACCAGCGTCACCAGCAGCAGCACCCCCAGAACCGGCACCTCCAGTCCCAGGGTCCCCAGCCTCAGTGTCTCCAGCAGCAGCACCCCCAGAACTGGCACCTCCAGTCCCAGGGTCTCCAACCGCAGTGTCTCCCGCAGTAGCACCCCCAGAACCAGCACCTCCAGTCCCAGGGTCGCCAGCCTCAGTGTCTCCAGCAGCAGCACCTCCAGGCGCAGCACCCCCAGCCCCAGCAGCTCTAGTACCTCCAGAAGCAGAGCTCCTGGCTCCAGAAGCGCGACGCAGACGGCGACCGTACCAGTCGTGCAGCTGCTGAGTGGTGAGAGGCACACGCGGACGAAGGCGGCCACTCCAAGTAGGCCGCGCACCAGCAGTCCCAGTACCCTCAAGCGTCTCACCTCCAGACTCAGCACCCCCAGACTCCGCACACTCCGGCGCAGTACCCCCAGACACAGCACCCCCAGGTGGAGGACCTCTAGACTCCTCACGCGCAGGCTCAGCACCCCCAGACTCCGCACCCCCAGACGCAGCACCTCCAGGAGCACCACCCCCAACAGCACCGGAGCAAACAGTAACCGGCTGCAGAGGCGGCGAAGAAGGTCGCGGAGGGAACCCCGGAGGGGTCTCCAAGCGTGGTGCGCGGCGGTAGGCCGCCGGGGCGTCAGCAGCAGCGTCACCCCCCTCAGGTGGGCCAGAGGTGTCGGAAGTGACCTCCAAAGGCTCAGCCAAGGGGGGGGGGTCTACCTGAGACACACCTGAAGGAGCAGGACCCTGAGGGGGGAGGGGGTCTACCGGGGGGGGACCTGGAGCAAGGAAGAGCGGCGGGGGGGGGTGGGGGGCAGCGCGGTAGGGGAAGAGACGGTAGTACGGAACCGACTCGTCAAACGTGACGTCCTGGGAGGACAGAACACGGCGCGAGGTGGGGTGGTAAAACTGCCAACCAGGCGCGTCAGGGGGGAAGCCAAGGAAGACGCAGGGAACAGCACGGGAGGACAGCTTGTCCGTAGACAAGTCTCGGACAAAAGCCCGAGATCCCCAGACACGAAACGCAGACGCATCGCCAACCTGCCCCGTCCACCTCAGAGTGGGGGAGGTGTCCGGCATGGAGACCCGGGGCTGAAGGTTGATCTGACGCGCCGCGTACTGAACCGCAAACGGCCACAGAAAATGGGGAGCAGCCGCATGGATCATGGACGTGCGAGCGACATCCATGACCATGCCAATGCGGCGCTCAGCAATCCCATTTTGCTGCGGAGAGGCCGGAAGCGTGAATGTCTGGCGGATGCCCCTCGCACGACAGAAGGCTCGTAGAGGGCCGGAGGAAAACTCTCCACCCCTGTCAGAGTGCAGACGCAGAACAGGAAAGTCCGAGCCGAAACTCTTCCTGAGCTGGAGACGAGCAGCGCGGATCCAGTCGATCAACACCTCAGTGACCTCATCCTTGCGGCGCAAGGGGAAGACTGTGGTGTAACGCGAGTAGTCGTCAACCACCAGCAGGAAGTAGCGCTCGTGACCCTGTCCACGGACGCGGGCTGGGCCCCACACGTCCATGTGAAGAGTCTGCAGCGGAGCCTCTGTCGGCGGAAACTCGGAGGAGTGAGGAGCGGCGCGCTGCCGCCCCTCGACGCAGGGAACGCAGGTAGGGGCAGGCCCCGGAGGGAGGGGAGGGAGGGACCGGGGGAGACCAGAGACAAGGACACGAGAGGCCATGCCTCGGAGACGAGGCAGGGAGGGGTGACCAAGACGGTGGTGCCAGAGAAGAGTCTCGTGGGACAGGAGGCGACACGAGCAGGGGGCAGACTCAGGACCAGACCGAGACGCTGCAGCAAACACCTGACCCGACGCAGCTACCTGACCAGGCACAGCAACCGGAGGAGACTCGGTAGTCAGGGTGTACAGGCTCGACCCCGGCCGACGGGTAAACGTGGCCAAGTGTCAGCCTGTGTCCGCACACGTGCAGTGGGTCACCCGCTGACGTGCAGGGGTGAACTGGTCAACCCCCCCATCCTGTAGGTCAGCACCCGCCACCAAGTTCGTAGAGAACGAGGGGAGGTAAAGACCTGACAGGGAGCCAGACGGGACCGCTGGACACGGTAGAACAGTGGAGTAGTGGGCAAGAACAGGACCCCCAAAGGGGTCTGCCAGGGAGACCGCAACCGGCCGACTAAGCGGCGTGAGAGTGGTGCGGTCTCGAAAGAAGGAGCGGGAAGCACCCGAGTCAAGGGTGAAAGTGTGCGACGACTGAGTAGACGTGGTACCTGAGAGAGCAGACTCACCAGCACCTAGGGCAGCAGACTCACTAGCACCTGGAGCAGCAGACTCGCTAGCACCTGGAGCAGCAGACTCAGTGGCACCTAGAGTAGTAGCTGCACCGCTCGGGTCAGGCGGAACACTCAGGTAACAGTCACCGTCATCACTAGTAGACATAACATACATGGCAGCAAGGATAGCATCATAGTCAAGATCAAAGATAGGAACCCCCGACCTAAGTAGCTCATGCCAGTGCGGGAGCTCAGTGGCGTCAGGGAACCGGATACGCCAGGCGTCTGTCAGGCGGCCGAAGCAGCGCTGGGTGGTGTGCGGGCCGCCACACGGCTCACACGTGCGGTCACCAGTACGCAGAACGTAGGTACAGGGACTAGCACCCCCAGGCCTCTGACGTCCAGCGTACCACTGGTGGAGCTGCTTGGGCGGAGGGGCCTCACGAGAGCGCTGCTGCTGCTGACGCTGTCCACCACCAGAGCCTCCCGGCTACACAGAGCCACCCCGACCAGCGCCACCGCCACCACCGCCACTGCCTCCTCCGCTGCCACCGCCGCCACCTCCACCTCCTCCACTCCCACCGCTGCCACTGCTGCTGCCTCCGCCTCCACCGCCGCCACCAGAGCCCCCACCTCCGCCCCCACTCCCACCTCCACCCCCACCCCCCTTGCCGCCTCCACCACCACCACCACCACCCCCGCCAGCTCCTCCAGCACCCTTGCCTCCCTTGCCCTTGCTGTTGCGGCGCCTCCCGCTAGGGGCAGACGCAGCGCCGACCGACTCAGTGCCAAGGAGGTCGACAGCAGCAGCAGAGGCAACAGAGGGCAAAAGGGGAACAGGGGAGCACCCCTCAAAGATAGGGGCACGGGGGTCACCTCGAGAGGCTCCTACAGCGACTATGCTCTTCTCAGCTGCAAGGAGCTCCTTCTCGAGGAGGTCAACGGTGAGGGTGGTAGGGCAGACAGCCAGGAAATGGTCCCTGACTGAGCGAAGGGAGTCAGGGAGGCGGGTGACTAGGTAGTAGAGGATGATATACATGGGGGGGGGGGGGGGGGTTCTTGGCGCAGAACTCAGCAGGAAGCGCAGCACGGTAGCGGGTGTCACTAGTGCGGAGGTGTGTAATGAGGTCAGCGACTGTAGCAAAGGCGGCGAGGTCAGGGAAAAGGTAGGGGAGCATGAGGCGGCTAAGGGCAGCAGAGGCAGGGGAGGAGTAGCGCGCAACGACAGCATCGAACAGGGTCTTAGCGGTCTTAAACTGAGTGAAGTGCGCACGCTCAGCAGACGGCAGGTGACTACGCACAGCAAGGCTGGCAGCAGCATCGCGGGTGTTCCAGCGAGAGCGCACTGTAGGATCAGCATCAGCAGCAGGTTGGGGGGAAGCACCAGACGTGAGGTCATGCAGCGAGACATCGTCTTTGCTATCACACTGCAGGAAAAGCTGCAAGTCGTCAAGCCAGACCTCAAAGTCTATCGCCCGACCCTCAGCATCGAAGGTAAGCACAGCAGGACTAGCCATGGCAGCAGGCGGAGCAGGCTAGTAGCAGTAGTAGAAGAAAGCGAGCAGGAGCAGTAGCAGTAGCAGTAGAGGCACGGCTCGGCGATGCGCTTACCAGGGGCGGGCTGGAGAAGCCCGCAAGCGGGGGGGCAAGGCCGAGGTGTCCGAGCAGGGTCAGGGCTGCACCAGGGCGGCAGAACAGGGCCGGGACGGCGGCGGCGGCTGCGACTAAACGGCGGCAGCTGCAGAGGGACGGCTGCTCCAAGGGCGGCTCCTCCAGAGGCTGCTGCTCCAGGGGCGGCTGCTGCAGAGGGGCGGCTGCTCCAGGGGCGGCTCCTCCAGGGGCAGCTCCTCCAGGGGCGGCTGCTGCAGAGGGGCGGCTGCTCCAGGGGCGACTCCTCCAGGGGCAGCTCCTCCAGGGGCGGCTGCTGCAGAGGGGCGGCTGCTCTAGGGGCGGCTCCTCCAGGGGCGGCTGCTGCAGAGGGGCGGCTGCTCCAGGGGCGGCTCCTCCAGGGGCAGCTCCTCCAGGGGCGGCTGCTGCAGAGGGGCGGCTGCTCCAGGGGCGGCTCTTCCAGGGGCAGCTCCTTCAGGGGCGGCTGCTGCAGAGGGGCGGCTGCTCCAGGGGCGGCTCCTCCAGGGGCGGCTGCTGCAGAGGGGCGGCTGCTCCAGGGGCGGCTCTTCCAGGGGCAGCTCCTCCAGGGGCGGCTGCTGCAGAGGGGCGGCTGCTCCAGGGGCGGCTGCTCCAGGGGCGGCTGCTGCAGGGGCGGCTGCTCCAGGGGCCGCAGGGGGCCGTCACAGCAGTAGCGGCGGCGGCGTCACAGCAGCAGTGGTGGCGGTCTTCACGGCAGCAGCTGCGGTGGCGGCCAGGCGTGGCGGAAGCGGCAGTGGCAGCAGGCGCGACGGCCGCTGCTGCGGAGGCGGCGACGATGGGGCGCCGACGGGGGGGGGGGCGCGAAAGGGGGGCCGCAAAAGGGGGCCGCGAAGGGCCGTGAGCGAGCCGCTAAGGGCCGCGAAGGGGTCCGCGACGGGCCGCGAAGGAGCCGCGGGCCGGCGCGCGGCGCTACAGCAGTGGCGCGCGCTAAAAAAAAGGGTATGCGCGCGCGTAGCCTAGGCGCGCGCGGGCAGCAGGCAAGTCAGGCAGGCAGGCAAGGCAGGTAAGGCCGTAATGAGGTAACACAGTAACCAGTGGGCCCTAAACTTAGGTCCTAAAGACCTGCTCTAGATACCATCTTAGAACTTAGCAAGGAAAAGGATGAGATTGGATGAGAGTTCGGGTACAAGAAAGAGAATGTCGAGAAAGTTTGTGTACCCCCTAGTGCTAAACCCCATACAGCCTAGACATCCTAAACAAACACATATATATATATATATATATATATATATATTATTTGACATATCCTGCCTGCCATCCACATAGTTACTCCACACCCACTTGACGCACAACCATGCACACACAGATCAAATAGAACAATCACAAAGCATAGTAAAGGGTCGCTGATTGCTCATTCACTACCAGACTGAAAAGTGGCGACTGATAATCACCCGACATTGTAGCTCCCACCAGCGCACCCATGAAATCCTGCAGACTCGGGACATTAGGCTCGGCAGCAGTTTCTGCGTCGGCAGCAGTTCCCGTGTCGGCAGCATTTCCCGCGGGAATGTCCACGTCTATAGTCTTGGCGCAAGCAAAGACACCCTCGATATCCGATGTGAATGGGCATTCGAGGGCGAGTGGGGCAAAGAATTGAGCGCCGACGTTGCCCATGAGGGAGACAGTAGAGTCGGTGGTAACGCCATTGGTGAAGACCAGGTGCACCTCCAGGGTGACCTTGGTGTCGCTGCGTGCCATGCAGACAATGAGCATTGACAAAGTCATACATTAGGATATATTAATAAAGCTCATGGGAGGGACAAGGGGAAGGTACAGTAAGAGCGGGGACAGGTAGTGCCGCACTGATGGGATGATATTCAACTCTCCTCTCTGATTTAGCTGCTTTTATCAAACTTCTCACTTTCCCCACTGCCCCCTTGCCAACCACCTTCTGGCCTCGCTTAGTCTCACACCCCATGTTAGAAGACAAAAAATGATGGACTCACGTGGCATTGGCAATCCGGATTCTGGCTCCTCCTGCCGTTGCGCCAGAGAACATGACTTCGAATCGGCCGCCTGACATGGTTGGCAGCACTGCAAGGGCTGCCACGGAAGAGCGGAATGAAGTGGGGAGCCCATGGGAGGGACGCAATGGAGATGAGGGGGAGAGAGTGGCGCATGGAAGGGATGCAATAGGGGGAAAGAGAGGACAAGGGGACGTGTTAAGGAATGATACGACCGTGCCAGCTCTAGCACATACCGCGTAGCTCAGAGCACTGCTCAAGGGCCGACAACGGATTCCCTCAGCTGGCAACACTGTAGCCTCAACACTGCTCTCGGACACCACTCACTGCCGTGTCACCAGTTCAGCGTGTGTGACCTTGCCACAACACTGCAACCCTCACATGGCATTCATTACTAAGACCCGCTGCACAACGCACATGCTACAGAGCAGACTCAGAGACCACGCATCCGTACCAAGATCAACAGCACTGATCGGAGAGAAGGTGCCAGAAGCTGAGACAACGACGCTTTGCGTGCCATGATGCTCCACCGTCACCTCTTGCCCGTCAACCCCGGCGGACCAGACAACCGCGCGGGTCTGATCCCACACCCCCGGAGCCAGCTGCTTCCACTGACCCTGTTCCATGGCCAAATCCTTGTCACCTGCAGGCAGCGACAGGGTGACCTTCGTTGGCGGGTTGTGGGTGCCCGCCATGATTACCCGGACAATACCAGGGGAATTGTTAGGGCTGTGGAACGCAGGGGGAAGGGGATAGTGGGAGAGCGGAGGGTTCAGGCGTTAGCAGCAGTGGGTCGTTATCAGTCAGGGGAGGAGGAGGGCTGAAGAGTCTCGTTACACAAAGAAAGCTAGGAATGCAGAAGTGGGAACGCGTCATGCTGAAGTGAAAGTTGTTGGCCTCCTCGCTACACACTGGGTCAAAACGAGGGTGCTATTTTACAGCGTGTTGCAATTCGTGGTGTACTGCATCGGCTCGGCTCGAGGCCCACATAGTTTGCAATGCCGTTTGAAAAAGTCTTACTCGTCAGGGATTTGCACGATGATGGTCCCCTGCGATTCGCCCGACGTCGGCTGAGCAATGTAGTAGGCTGACAGGATCGAAACAGAAGTGAAAGAATGAATGCAGACATTGGGCACTGGAAGTGAAGGAACAGGTAATCGTGGCACGCAATAATTCAAAAAACACTATTTTTCGCACATGTTTCGTAAAACTGGGTTGGAGAGGTTGGGTGCTTTGTGATTACATGAAGGCAAATGAGAATATAAAAAAGAGGGAAAGGCCTATGTTGGTCGACGCGTAATTTAGTAATAACGCTCATTCTCTCCAATAAGGAGACTGGTGGACGAGCGCAAAGCGAGAGCGAGTGAGGGTATGGGGTTTGACTTAAAGCGCCGATGCGTGATGCCTAGTGTGAATCGCTTTCCAGAACTGCGTGGGAATAAACTGGCAAACTTGGTCGAGTTGGAGTGTGGCGTCGATTATCTTACATGAGCTGGGCGGAGAATTTTGGGGAGTAGATTTGTTGATATCCACGTCCGTCGCCTCGACAGCTGACGATGCCAGGAGAACCGCGATGCCTGCGCAAATCACGGCCAAGTGTATCGTGTAATGCAAGATAAGCGACGTGAATCGTCAGCCGGCGTTGTGTTTTTTCAGCGTGATACGTGTAAGTGCGGATGCATGGTACCATGGCAGAGGCTGTCATTGCTGGCGGAAAAAGAGTTGCCGTTTCTGATTTTGCGCCTCGGGAATTCGTACCTGACATGCACATAAGACAGGATACGAGCCACCGTGGGAGTGCGAGGAGGGCCATGACGAGACTTTTGAAGTCCAATGCGGCGATCGGACAGCGGAGGTGGCAAGAAGTACCAGAAGATGCTGGAGAAAACTGGCTACTAGGAGCGAGAATGAGCAGAGCGTGAGATGTGAAAGAAAGCTCTGAATTTAGGATCAAGTTATGTACTCCTAGAAACTCTGTTGGGAAAGGTATTGAGAAGATAGCTGATTGAGGAATTCAGTATATGGAGGCTCATTGTGGGTTTATGTATGGTGCAGAAGGTTGATGTTCGATAAGGCTAGGCGGAGAGAGACAGGAGGAGGCGGGATTGGGATAGGATAAGGCTGGAAATTCAGGCACTGCATTATTGGTGTTCGAAGCGCGCTACTTGAAAATCACATCAGGCGTGGGTGGAGAAAGTAATGGGTTGAATCGAGTTTCCCATGTGGTGAAAAACGGTTTTGAACGATATTTGATATCACCACCCATAATGTCGGTTCAATAACCGTCAGCTCTGCCGGCCGTTTTTGGTCATCAATTATGCAGTTTAACTCGGTTTCCGGGCAGAAAAATCATGTGCGAAATGGTAGTCCTGCGTTACCAGGCGTTATTTGCGAGAGCTGACGTCAGAATTCGTATAGTCGTTCAGAGAAGCAGGTGCGGCCAGCAGGAAAATCATTTCAGCGAAAAATTGAAAAGGTTACTGCCAATAATTTCATTTGCAATGAGGCAGAAGAATATTTTCTGGGGCTGAATAATTCTGTAGAAGACAAACTGACTGTCAGCTGTTGACGGAGCCTGACGTTCCCGTCAGATGAGTTATTGGTGCCTTGGTACTCAGTCTTCTTTTTTGTTGAGACTTCCCTCCTAGCTTTCACCATTCTGGAACGCGAACAGAGATGCCGATTTCCTACCGACCATTAGGTTCCAATGGCGCAGCTGAGACGCGAACGTCTCTTATCGATTGGATAGAAACGAGCTGCTTCGTTTCTTGAATAACTGAACGCACAATGCCTCTATTGTTTCAGTTCAAATCATTTGCATTATTGTCCTCCGGCGATGGTCGACGAGGCGAACCAGGCGCCGAGTTATCTGAACATTTGCATTATTATGCGAACGTTGCCCGGGTTCCGCGCTCATCACAAACAAAGCGGCTGAGCGCTGAGCGTTCACTTACACCGTTCGACGCAAGCCTTCTCATCCTCGAATCGTTCATTACCACCAGCGCCGCATCCTTTCTCATCATCAGCCCTTCCCTTCCCTGATTCTTCTATTACCAAGTGCTCCTCCTATTGAAACCGCAAACTCATTCAGAAAGGCGGGCTTCCTTCACATCAGTGGTATCGCTCTCTAGGGTTTCTCAGGAACAACTTGAGAAACACCCGCAATGGCTCTCCCCCGTGTTCTCACGTGCCTCCTCCTCATCGCCGGTACGCCTTCATCAACCCATGCCTCCCTCCTCAACCGCTGGACCGTCATATTCATTCCATTCCTAATGGCCTTTTTTTTTGCTCTTGTGGTCGGCTGCAGGCGTGCTCGTCTCCTCCGCGGTTCCCGGAGCAGAGGCGCTAAGCGTCAACGCGGCCAGGCAGCGCGCCGCCGCGACAGCGCTGAAGGTGGAGACGGCCATGCAGCGCGCGGTGAGCGCGCTAAGCGCGGAGGTGGCGCAGCAGCGCGCCGTGAAAGCGGGTCTCAAGTTCGTCAAGTCCCTCCTCCCCAACCTCTTTCCGCCGCCCCCGCCTGCCCCCAGTCAGTGCCTCCATCCCTTCCCTCTCGCTCTCCTCGCTCCTTCGCTGCGCTCTTCTCGCCCTGCTTGCTTAAACTGAGATGCCGGCCCGATGCTGAATTTTAGGTAGATTCTCGTGACTATTTCTGAAACGGGATATGATGTTATCAGTCGCGTTTTGTAAGAGTTATCTTCATCATTCCTTCCACCCAGCGCTCATCTTCTCGCCTCCTCCCTTTCTCCTTGCCGTCGGGTGATGGCCCGCCAATGCAGGGCTGTACAGCGTCGATCATGGGAATGGACGCGTGAGAGCAAAGTTCAGCCTCGCCGTCCCCTACCAGTAAGCATTGCTCCTGCTCTGCTTGAATTGAATCCACTCCACAGTCGGTGGGGATTCAGATTTGGTTTCGTGGTCTGTTTGGAAGTTGGCGTTGTCGTGCTGTGAGCATGGCATGAACACGGCGTGTCGTAAGCAGCGTGTGCGTGTGGGAGGGCATACGCATTTGGTTTCCCCATTCAAGAGCGCAACCGTCTTCCCTGCCTTCCGTGCCCCCCCCTGCTCCCGCCCTCATTGCTCCTGCCTGTTTCCCCTGATCCATCATTGCTCGCCCTGCTTTGGCCTTCCTGCTCCCTCATTCACCAACTCTCTCTCTCTCTCTCTCTCTCTCTCTCTCTCTCTCTCTCTCTCTCTCTCTCTCTCTCTCTCTCTCTCTCTCTCTCTCTCTCTCTCTCTCACTCACTCACTCACTCACTCACTCTCTCTCTCACTCTCTCACTCCTACCGTGCCACTGCCCGCTGAGGCTACAAATCCTTGCTTCGTCCCCCCAATCTCCCTGCCAACCTTGCCAGTGCTGCGACCAAGCCCACGCAGTTCCGCCTGACCGTCGCGGGCTTGGTCAGGCCGCCGATGAACTTGAGGCTCGTAGCGCAGCCTCGGATTGGAATCGACTTGGCCGTGCTCGGGGAGAACTTGCAGTGCTCGAAACTTGCGCCGAGCGTGTGGGACTGCTTCGGCCAGACCCAATTCACCCAAGCCAACATCGACGATATCGGATTCACGGCTGGTGTGGGCGCTGACCTCAATTCCCACCTTCTCTTTCTCGTGTACCCGGAGGCGCACAACCCTCGGGGAGGGGAAACGACCGGTGCGAACCTCACGACCGCTCCGCCGCATTGGACAATGCAGCAAGTCTTCGGTACGTTGCTTCGCCCCACCGTGGTAACCCGGTTCCTGGATTCCTGTTTCCTACGTCTCGACTCAGAAAGTCATTCACCCAGCTCACCTCTTTCGCTCGCATGAATGGCCAAATAGTCCTTGTGAGCTAACTTTTGCTTCGATTTGTTGCAGGTCACAACGATCTGGTGAGAGGAGTTCCAACTGCCGGAAGGTTGCAGGCTATCATCAACGGAGATCAGCTCAAGGGAGGAGCAACGGTTGCCATCTCCAATAAGTAAGTCCCTGCTATACCTGCTCCATAGATGTTGCACATTGTTTTTTGTTGCAAATCTATCTATACTTGCGGTGCCCGACCTTCAGTGAAAGGCCTCGTTACCCATTTACCTAGGGTTTCTCCATCCGCCCCTCACATGGATCTCAACCCCACTGCCCTCCTTGACCCGGCTCCTCCCTACTTATCCCCCTTTCCCACCCACCTGCCTGCCATCTGCCTGCCTTCTGCCTGCCACCTGCCTGCCACGTGCATGGCATGCAGGAAGGGCAAGAGCATGATGCATGTGAGCATCGTAATCATCCATGCCCAGGACCTGATGGCAGCGGCAAAGATCTCCGTCGTTTATCTTCGTACCCAACAAACCGTCCACGTTCCTATCAAGTGCACGTGGGCGCGGCCCAGGCCCAGCGTGCACGTGTGCGAGGTCAAGACGGATTTCCCCAGCAAAATCGACACCTCCTCCTTAACCACTCTAAAGCCTGCACATTCAGCCACCCCAAAAACGGCAGACCTGGAGTTAAAGGTTGTTGTGGTGTCACAGGCACTGGCAGAAGCCTCTGAAGACACGCTGCGCTACACGCTCTGAATCACTCGTGAGGCACCGCGCTTCAAAGGCTGCGTTGTTGGTAGTTAATTACTGGAGAGCTGGCTCACAGTCTGAATATGCCATTGTTTTCCCGCTTCCCTTATTTTTTCCTCACTCCCTCTCTCCTTTTCCTTCTCCAAGATCTAGTACTGGTGTGGTCTACGGTATGTTAGAGTACGGTCGGTACCGTATCGCTCCGGATAGTAGCGGCGTCTGATTAAACGCGCCGGCGCGGCGCTTCTATCTGGTGTCAAGAATGAATGTGTTGGTTTCACTAAGGTTGGTTGGGGTACATAAACCTAATCCTATCACTTGTACCCCCTCTAACACACATCACTAAGACTACAACATTTGACACACCCTTATTGTCTAAGGGTACATTCCTGTGTAGACACAAATGTCTCAATGCACTATTTCCCGAGTCGCATCTACACATTTTTCCAATGTCGCGTCTCAAACATTGGATGTATCGCGACAAAAGGCGATCAGGCGAAAAAAACAGTTGTGCGCATCTGATTGGTTTTCGGAAATGACTGTACACCAGTCTCGCCAAATGATTGGCTGGGGTGTGGTTGTGACGCGCGGATTCTTTTCCCGCGCGGAATTGTCATTGTCGAGGGGTCCAAATACATACCATAATCCCCCGCATAGTAAACCCCCCAAAATAGAGCACCCATGGGTGTTCAATTACGGTGGGTGTACTGAAAAATACACCAGTTATAACACCCCCCATTTTTTTGGTAATTTTGAGTACACCCCCTATGGCAATATCGTCACGAAGTTGTATCGAATTCTGAAATTTTTGCCGAGACTTCTTACGAAGCGCACGCGCCACCCTCGAGTTTACTGCGCGCAACGTGGCGATACTCCTCAATCTGTCACTGCGCGCGTCAATTTTGTACCTGTATGACGTGGCAAAAATTCCACGCGCAGTGCGAAAGTTGTTTCAGCCAGATTCGATAACACACAGAGCTGAAAACAGAATTCTTTTGGGTTCTATTTTGTTTCTGTATGTCCTTATATAACACCCATGGGTGCAAGCTTACACCCCCCCCCATAATAGAACACCCCCCTAAAGGGGGACATTCATCAGTACACCCTAGGGTGTACTATGCGGGGGATTACGGTAGACATTTCGGACCGCGGGCGACTTTCCGAAATTGACGGGTCAATTTACAACTCGTCCGCGACGTCAGCGCGTTTCACGCTGACCAATTAAAAATACAGTACATGTCGCAGAAACACGACTCGCAATTGTGACACAATACAGTTTAGGCTGTTTTTGGGTGTCACAAAGTGATTGAGACATTTGTGTCTACACATGAATGTACCCTAAGTGAAGGGTGTCAAGTAAAACCGAAAGTGTACGTACGGTCACAAGACCAGTCACAAAAAAAGCAAAGCTCAAGGTGGATCATAACGTCGCCACACAGTCCGAGCACAAACAAAAGAGCCACAAGGCCAGTTCAAGAGTTCACATAGGTTTATATAAAACGTACAAACAAAGCAAGCTGAGAACTCAAGACTACGCAAGGCGAGAACCTAGGGTAACTGCACACAACATATCTGGTGGTCACAAGGCGGAAGCGCCTTGGTGAAGATGTCTGCAGTGTAGGCCTCGTACTCCACAAACTCGAAGCGGGTCTGTCCACGCCTCTGCTGTCAGAATCCCAACCACTAACCATTGGGATAAAATGACTTGTTTGTGTAGCGGGTGAGTGCGCCCATAACCCCCCAGGCCGCCATGCCTGTAACCCTTCCCTAGGATCAATCGGGGATCACCAGTGGACCTCTGACACCCCCCCGCACTGGGATGCCCGAGGTGCACACACCGGGATTCGAACCCGAGACCTTCGCTCTGATACCATGTCAGAATTCCAACTACTAACCATTGGGATAAAAGGGCTTGTTTGTGTAGCGGGTGAGTGCGCCCATAACCCCCCAGGCCAACGTGCCTGTAACCCTTCCCTAGGATCAATCGGGGATCAGCAGTGGACCTCTGACATCTGCAACTCTCGCAGAAGGAAGTACCGTATTCTCCCGGACATAACACCCTAGGGTAGATTTAAAAATACAGGAAAAAAAGGGGGGTGTCTTCTCATAGGAAAAAGCTACATAATACCCGGGTGCATATATATGGCATATTTTAGTGTAAGAGTTTTTTTTATTAGACATGTTGAGTATTTCCAAGGGCGTTTTAACTTAACATGTTGAGGCGCGAATGAGAGTTTCGACGCGAACGTCATCACACCCTCGAAATTGCCATGTGACACCTGTCTGGCCACTTGCAGCGGAAGATTCGCCAGCGCGTGGCGATAGCGAAACGGTGGGCAGGAGGGAATCTCGGCAGATTCGAAGTGAAAGAACCTCGAATTGTCATCGATGGAGGGATTTTCGCGATACCTGCACCTACTCGTTAACAAATAAAATAAAAAATCTGTATGAAACGGGGGTGTTATAGAAAATCATACAAAAAGGGGGGTATAGTAGAAACGAGGTCGCCCATAGCACCCACCCCGCACAAGCTACCCGGGGGTGCTCTATCATGGGGGGGTGTTTTGTCCGGGAGAATACGGTACCTGACGTTGATGTGCTTTACTCTGCTCTCCAGTCGCGGCTCTCGACAGAGGAGAATCGACGCCTTGTTGTCAGTGAACAAGGTCGGTGCGGAGCTTAGCCGCTCACCAAGGTCGGTGAGCAAGAAGGTCAACCAACGCAGCTTGTGTGCAGCCAGGGGCTCCAGCGTACCGGTAGATCTCGGCCTCAGCAGTAGAGGTCGACACCGAGAAGGAACGCGTGCACCTCCACGAAATAGCTCTAGAGCCCAGGCAGAAGCATTGCCCTTGAGTAGACCTGTGAGTCTCGGCGTCGTCAGCGTAAGAAGAGTCACAGTGACCAGTAAGTACGACAGACTGCTGCCCTCCAAGAACCAGCCCCACGCCTGATGTCGTCGCTAGGTACTTCGCCACCCTCACAGCAGCTGTCCAGTGAACTGGACGGTGTCTCCCTGGCGCAACAAAGCGAGCAAGGATGCTGAGAGGGAAGGCGAGGTCCGGGCGAGTACAAGTCATCAGATACATGAGGCAGCCCACAAGCTCTGCGTAAGGACCACTAGGCTCAAACGGCTCATCAGAGAAGGGGGGTCCAGTGAGCATGTGGTCAACAGCAAGAGGTGTGCGCTGTACTGTGGAGTGCTGAAGCTCGAACAGCTGAAGGACCTGCTGCACCATGTGTGACTGTGAGAGTGTAATGGTGCGAGCAGCTCTGTCCCTGGTGATCTGCAGGCCAAGGTAGTGGCGCAGCTCACCCAAGTCAGTGCACGTGTGTCTCTTCTGCAGTTCGCGCTTCACGTCAGCCAAAGCAGCCATGTCAGCAGTGGCGAAAACCAGGTCGTCGACGCAGACCAGTTTAAAGAACGGTGTGGAGCCACGACGAACAAACAGCGACGGGTCGACAGAAGATGGCTGGAAACCAAGGTCAGAGAGGGTAGAACGAAGGGTGTCGTGCCACTCACGAGGAACCTGACGGAGACCGTAGATCGGTCGCCTCAACCCCCACTTGGTCCCAGGAGGGAAAGTGCAAGTGAAGGCAGAGGGACGACGCATCCTGACCTCCTCGTGTAGGCTACCCTGAAGGAAAGCAGTGGAGAAGTTGAGAGAGTGTAACTCGTAGTCTCTCTTTGCTACTACGTGCAATAACACCCGAAGAGTGGTCATCTTCGGGGTAGGCGCAAAGGTCTGAAAGAAGTCAACTCCCTCGCACTGACTGAAACCTCAAGCCACATAGCGCGCTTTGAAGACCGTAGAAGATCCCGGTGGCCGCTTCACCCTGAAGATCCACATGCCATCGACTACGTTCGCCCCAGGGGGGGGAACCTCGTCGACGTAAGTGCCTGTGGATCTGTAGGAGGCCATCTTTGAGTCCATGGCAGCTCTCTACTAAGATGCCCAAGGCCTTGATACCGCCTCGGCGTAAGTGCGAGGAGTCGGTATGTCAAGGGCGTCGGGGTCTCCCTCAGGGGAGAGCAGCATGGCACAGAGATGAGCGGAAGCGGCTGCCAGGAACTTTAGCTCAAACTGCTTGTCCTCTGGGGAATCCCAGTCAAGGGCAGACCCACCCTCGACGGCCAGAGGACTGGTAGGAGGAGCAGCCACAAGACTGGTGGCGTAGTCAATGCGGCGAGTAAAGGTAAACTCAGTGACTGCGGCAGTAAGAGCGGAGACAGAGGACGGAGAAGGACGTGGGTTGGTAACAAGAGAGGCAAGAACACGAGAGAGAACAGGACGATACGTACGGTAGTAGTCCGTGACAGGTAGAGGAGGGAAGCGGTGAGAGCAAACTCAGGAGGAGAAGGAAGTGCAGAAGGAGACGAACAAGGCGGACTAGAACAAAGCAGGGCAGTACGAAGGTCAAAGAAGGGAACAGTGGACAAGGGACGCGCACGAGGAGAGCGATGCAAAGTCCAAGTGTGAGTAAGAGGAGGGGACAAGGGAGGTAGAGAAGGAGGGAAAACAGCTGGGGAGGGGTCAGGAGGAGGAAGCGGAGGACCAGAGATGGGAGGAGAGGGGGAGGAGGGAGGAGAGGGAGAGGGGAGACAGAGGGTCCAAAGACCAAAGACAGGAGGAGGAGGTGGCTGCTGCTGCTGCTGCTGCGGCTGCTGCTGCTGCTCCTCCAGCTGCGGCTGCTGCTGCTACTCCTGCTGCTGCTGCTGCTGCTGCTCCTCCAGCCGCTGTAGCTCCAGCTGCTGCCACTCCAAATCTCTCTCGTCTCGCTCCAACTCCAGCTGCTGTTCACGGGCACGGCAAACACAGGCCTGGTGCCGGGTCGGGTAGGGGTGAGGGGAAGGAGTAGTGCCGGAGTGGTGGTAGCCCTAGGACCGCCCTCCAAAGAACCAGTCCCACCACCCCCTGAGCTAGCACCACCGGAAGTAACAAGGCCCGTCCAATGCTCTCCAGGTCCAGTAGAGGGTGCACCCCCAGTCGTAGCAGCCCTAGAGACAG